TGAGTCAGAAGTGCAAGTTTGCTTGACACTCCTCCAAACGACGGAACCACCACCCAGAGTAAAGACAGAACCCGAAGTCGATTTCCTAGAATCCAAACATGATTGAAAATCTGAATCTGTAAATCCTAGAGGTGTCAAATCCTCCCTGGAATATACCAGCATATAATTTCTAGTACTCCGAAGATACTTGAATATATGCTTGACCGCAACCCAGTGGTTAGGTCTTGGATTCGACTGATATCGACTTACAATCCCGACCGCATGGCAAATGTTTGGTCGAGTACAAAGCATAGCATACATAAGGCTCCCGACCGCCGAAGCATAAGGTACCTTTGCCATGTATTCTCTTTCCTCAGATGTCTTGGGACAATCACTATTCGAAAGAGTAATTTCACACCTAGATGGTTGCCCACCTTTCTTGGAATTCTGTATTGATTACTTCTTGAGAATTTTATCTATGTATGAAGCCTAAGAGAGAGCTATCATTTTGTTCTTTCGATCTCTCAAGATTCGAATGCCCAGAACATAATTAGCTTCTCCTAAGTCCTTCATGTCAAACTGTTTGGTAAGCCAAACTTAGACTGATGACAAAGCCCCTACATCATTGCCAATGAGTAGAATATCATCAACATATAACAGTAGAAAAACTACTTTCCCATCTTGAATATGCTTATAAATAGAAGGTTCATCCATATTCTGTTGGAATCCAAAAGTCTTGACCACTTGGTCAAATCTTTTGTTCCAAGAACGAGAAGCTTGCTTTAATCCATAAATGGATTTCAGCAACTTGTAAACTTTTTCCTCTTGACCCTTAGCCCCAAAACCTTCTAGTTGTACCATATAGATACTTTCCTCAAGATGGCCGTTCAAGAACGCCGTCTTAACATCCATTTGCCAGATCTCGTAGTCGAGAGCAGCTGCAATGGATAAGAGAATGCGGATGGACTTAAGCATGGCTACAGGTGAAAAAGTTTCCTCATCATCGATTCCCTCCTTTTACGTATATCCCTTAGCTACCAGTCTAGCCTTATAGGCTTCGACCTTTCCTTCTGCATTTCTCTTTCTCTTGTAGACCCATTTACACCCAATGGGCTTAATCCTATCAGGAAGATCTACAAGTTCCCAGACTAGATTAAAATCCATAGATTTCATCTCAGCTTTCATGGCTTCTGTCCAGAGGTTTGCATCAACATCCTCCATAGCTTCTTTGTAAGTATAAGGATCTCTGTCATGTTCTAGAGATTCTACCAAAAAAGTTTTCCCATTAGCCATGAATCTCTCAGGTTCATGTTTGATCCTCCCACTACGCCGAAGCCCCTTAGATTGTTGTTGGGTTTCCTTTTCTACTCTGATTGGACTGGTTTCCAAAGGAACAGTCGGTATGACCAAGTCACTCGACATTTCCTCAAGCACCATTTTGCTACGAGGCTTAAAGTTGTTCATGTAACTTTCCTCAAGGAATGTTGCATTCGTTGAAACCGTGACTTTATTTTCCTTGGGGTTATAGAAATAACCCCCTTCCGTCCCTCTCGGATAACCTACAAAAATGCACACTTCTGAACGTGCTTCCAACTTGTTCGCTTCCTTGTCCAGGACATGTGCAAGACATCCCCATATGCGAATATGGTTCAAGGATGTCTTCCTACCCGTCCACAACTCGTGAGGAGTTTTAGGAACCGACTTTGTTGACACGTTGTTCAGAAGATAACATGCAGTTTGTAAAGCATATCCCCAGAAAGATATAGGCAATGTCGAATAACTCATCATGGACCGTACCATGTCCAACAAAGTCCTATTTCTTCTTTCAGCTACACCATTCTGTTGTGGAGTGCCAGGTGCAGTTAAATGGGATAGAATCCCACTCTCTAATAAGTATCCGGTGAACTCATCGAGAGGTATTCTCCACCTCGATCGGATCAAAGTGCCTTTATGGGTTTACCCAATTGCTTTTCCACCTCAGCCCGAAACTCTTTGAATTTATCAAAAGTTTTGCTTTTGTGGTGCAATAGGTACACATAACCATATCTTGAGTAATCGTTGATAAAAGTGACGTAATAATGATACCCTCCTCTTGCCTTGATGTTCATGGGACCACAAACATCACTATGCACAAGTTCAAGAACATCTTCAGCCCTATTGCCCTTAGACCTAAATGGTCTTTTGGTCATTTTGCCCTCCAAACAAGATTCACATTGGGGTAAGGACTCAACCTTTAAAGAACTTAAAGGTCCATCCTTTACCAACCTCTGTATCCTGTTAAGGCTAATGTGACCAAGTCGCAAATGCCAAAGATATGTCTCATTAGAGTGAGAAGTTTTAAGTCTTTTAGAGTTATTAACAACTTCAGTGTTTAGCAGTGAGTCCATCTTAGGTTTGATAAAATATAGATTATTTTGCATCCATCCATCATAGATAAAATACTTGTTTTGACGAATCACAACTTTATTATTAAAAGAAACTGAATAAGAATCCTTAAATAAACAAGCAATAGAAATAAGATTCCTCTTAAATTGAGGAACATAAAAACTGTCTCGCAAAAATAAACTCCTATAACTATCAAAATAAAGATGGACGTCTCCCACTACTTCAGTCAACACTAGTGTTCCATCGCCCATCCTCAAAGTGAAGCTCTCATTTAGAAGACTTCTCGTTTGCTTGAACCCCTGTAGAGAAACACACACATGATTAGTTGCTCCAAAATCTATGACCCAGTTGTCACTGGATTCCTCAACCAGACATGCTTCCACAATCAAAAGATCACACTCACCTCCTTTGCCTTTAGCGGCTAAGGAGTCTTTGCAATTCTTCTTCATGTGCCCCACCTTCCTGCAATGAAAGCACTTAAGCTTGTTCGGGTTCTTCTTCTTCTTGTTCTTGCCCTTGTTTGGCAGAACTAAAGAACTCTCCTTCTTAGCTACTTGCTTCTTCTTTCCATTCCCTGGAGAGGGTTTGGAGGAAGATGCCTCAGCAAAGTTGGCCTCCACAATAGTCGACCCCTTGATCATCCGCTCAAACTTTTGGAGTTCTTGCATCAACTCTGTCAGGGTTATATTCTGTCTAGCGCTCAAATTGAACGTTGCCCTAAACGGAATATACTCCTTCGACAAAGTCTCAAAGATCATGGTCAATTGAGACTCAGCATCGATGTTGGCCCCAATGGTTTGAATCTTTTAACGAGGGTTATTAACAGTCGTTAAATCCCATATTTTTACAAATGGATATAGGTATAAAGTAAAAAACTCTGTACAAATTTTATTAGGTTGTTCTTGTTGTATTTCTTATTTTCTCATTTTACAAGCAGTGATACTGGAATTCTCAATTTCTTACTTTTTATATTTGTTGTTCTCTTTTCTTAATAAATTAGAGTGGGGAGTTTTGATGTAAGATAAGTTTTTTAGCAATCTAAACCTAGTTAGAATATGCTAAATTTCTCAACCATCAATTAGCCCCCCTCTTTCTCACTCTCTCAATTTTCTCAACACAAATTCTTTATGTTTAAGTTCATATACATTAGATTCTATTTAATTAATGAGAAGGGCAGTTGGGATTTTTTTGGGTCCAAAAATAGCCTCAAAGTATCAAAAGATGATTTTTCAACATGCCGAGGTACCCGTTTATAATTATAAAAATACACAATACTAAAAGTAGATTGCGATAAAACACATGACATGTAAATTATATTTGACCTTGTTTTCGAGTGTTTTAATGGCAAGGAAGATAAAATAGCTCAACATCATTTTTTATTTGAGGGCTTCCAACTTTTCAAGCAAAATAGAGAAAATTAGTACATGGTTTGCCATGATTTTGTACAAGTCTATTATTTATATAATTCTAAATAATTTAGTATCATTATGGTCTTTTATTTTCTCTTTATTAATTGAATGACAATTGTTTATTTTTTAGTAGAGTGACATAAATAATATTTTTTACCGCCTTGAATAGTATTTCTAGTTTTCTTCCCATCAAAATACGTATAGGACCATTTCAAAAGAGCGGGTTTGAGATTATTTATTTAACTCTATTTCATCAAAAAGGAAGCCTATTTTGTTGTAGCTTTGGACATAAAATTTCAATGGAAATGCAAATTTCGTTCAAATTTTTTTTAGCAGCTTTTTATACGAATATTGGTTCATGTGATGTAGAAGGTCTGGCAACGTATCGATTTTGTTTGTAGAGCTTCCAATGACAGCTGAAACATATGGATCATGCACTCTTTTTTATTTTTTCGGGTTTCTCCATGGGTTTTATCGGAAGGGTTTACAAGGAGGCCTCCAATATTTTGAGTAGATCGTGTTTTTGTTTTCTCTAGTGTTATATAATCTATTACGCTAGGAGGCGTTTGGAAGAGAGGATAGTTTTTTAGATTATGGATGTTTTTATATTTTCCTGTTATCTACTCTCTTCTGAGAAATGTTACCATGAACTATTTGTAATTTTCTATTTCTTTTCATCATTTACTAATAAAATTTGCGTTAGGAGGTTCATAAAGGACCAGATTGATTAGAATTAATGGTGACAACCTAATTGAGATATTCTAATTGTCTCTAGTATTAGTTATTCTTTTTCTCAGCTCAAATTAAAAAAAAAAAGACGCCATTTTTCACCTATGAAAGATGTATGTTTAGTGATTCTCCTGTTAAATTATTTTCATTCTACAATTTAGTTTTATTTTCATTTTAATTATTTTTCCTAATTTTTTGGTACTTTTTATAAATTATGCTTGGGACACCAACGCCAATCCAATTATTGCTTACTAATTGTTTGACACATGTGAATTGTCATTTTTATATTGATTGGTGTTTTAAAATATTATCACGTCATTTAATGTTACATGTCATATCAGTTGCTACACAATAATTGAGATTGGAGTTAGTGTCCCTAACATTTACTTTTTTTTTATTCAATTAAATGGAGGTGTAAATTTAGTGTGTGAGATAAAATCAACTTGATTATGATGTTGTGATTAAAGAATTTTATTGGTTCCCTCTCTAAACGGGGAAAAAAAGTACTAGAGCTATAGTTCTTCAATTTGCACTCACATATCATTATTTACTTCAAGGAAACACTACATCATGTCCCAATAGCAATTAATATTGTTCCATAAGTCTAATAACACTAAAAGAACAATACAAAACACTCAAAACATAAGTAGTACGAAATGCATAATTAACTAGCTTGAAATTATACGCAACTTTCTCACGCATGATTACATATACTCATAAAACGACTTCTCAAAGACCTTCATATGTTCATCGTGCAAGGCTATAATCAAAGAAAAACCCCCATCGTCAGCTGCAGAAGGCACAATATAAGATTTTCCCTCAAAGCTTATTGCAGCGATTCCCATGTAGCATGGTCGGCCCCACCCAAAATCAGCATCATGTGTTCCCATCCTAGACCAACTAGTGATCCCAAAATTTGGACTCTGATAAAGGCGGGCTCCAAGTCTAATGGGTGATATATCAGGTTGAAGCTCAATATGGTCAATTGCTGACCTTAAGTAGTCATTGTTCATTTTGACCAAAGTTTCATGAATAAGACTCACCGCATACGACAATGGTTTGGTTTGGAGATCACCCGCTAGAGCAATTGCCGTGCCTGCAAAAATGGCATTCCCAAAGAAGCCAAGTGGGAGTTGGGGTTGAAATCTTGTACTTGGCCTTCCATTCACAGGAAAGTACAATCTCGTCTCTTCATCACGTGGCACGTCACGTGCTTTGCAAACACATTTCCAAGTGTGACCTGCCAAAACCTCAAATGTGCTATAGTGGACCCCACCTTGACCATTTTTGTTGGCTAGGGATTTCATTGTGCTAAGTTGGTCCTTGGTCAACTTGAAAATGGAAGTGATCGTGCTATGATTTTGCAGAGAGATTATCTTGTTTGAATTAGTGGGCTGGTATTCTATGTGATTGAACTTAGGTTGAGGAGGGTTGCGAGGATCAAGTAATGATCTGTCTAGAAATGGTGGAATTGTAATGTCAAGGCCACGAGCAATCTGAGACCAGGAATTCATAAGGTGCATAGCTGAGGTTCCATCTACTGTATGGTGTTCCATTGCAGAACCAAGCGACACGCCACCGCATTTGAAGTAAGTAATCTGAAAAAAAAAAAAAGAAAAAAAAAAGCAAGAATCAATTATAAATAAAGCGGTTAAGATGCTCGAACTGTATAAAAGTAAAATACTTAGAATCACCACCGTTATTAAAGACTACTATTAATAAAAGATGTATACATGCGGAAAAAGTATGAGTATGTGGACAACTAAAAGATATTTTTCATAATAAACAAAAGTAAGGAAATCATGTAGAAAATGATTTGTGAGGTACTATAATAAACTAACAATCAAGAAGTCCACATCAAAAAAAAAAAAGAAAAAAGAAAAAAGAAAAAAGAGTAGGGACATATGTCAAACTAAAGATTTCAATCGGGTAAAGTGACATTTTTGAGACAAATAGTACGCATGGTAAATAGCATGTGCTCAATTGATGGCGCTTGAACAAAGAAAAAATCGAAAAACAAAAAACGCCATCTTTGTTATTTGGAAGGAGCGGGAAATTTTGTTTTTTCAATATTTAATGGCGGTTGGATAAACGGTTGCAGTGAAAATTGTGATTAATTTTGAAGGTATTAAAATCAATAGCGGTTGAACATATACTGCTTTTAAATCCTATAGGAGAAAACTTTAACAGCGGCTGTCAAATGACTGTCATATAAAGTCATACAACAAAATAAAAGTTAAAAGATTATATGGCGATTTTTGTTCAACCGTCATCTAAAGTGTATATTTTCACCATCATATATTATATTTCATACAATATTTATGGCGCTTTAATTGATGGCGCTTTTTGACCACTATCTTATACCTTTAATAATGGTCAGAAACCGCCATTAATTTTACCTTTTCAAGGAGTGGTAGTCGAAAGCCTCACAAGGAAACTTGAATTTGTCAACAAGGAAAGTTTTAGAACCGAAATGATAAAGGCTAGAAAAGCCGAAACAAAAAGAAACATGAGTGAAGTTTACAGGTCGTACTTGATAAAATTATATTTTTCAGAAAATATGAAAAAACTCAGTATGGATAAATTAGAAGAAAAAGATATATATTAAAAACTAATTTAACTTAGTAAATTTGAAAATATATAAGATATGGAAAACAATAGAAAAGAAAGGCACACAGATGTGAGAAGAAACAAAAATGGACCAAAAGAGAGAAGAAAATAGGAGGAAGGAAAAAAAAAAAGAAGAAAAGCCCCCAAAAAAAACACCAACACTGACATTTCGAAAGGGAGAAACCTTTCCTTAATGAAACACTAGAGGTTAGAGGAAAAAAAAAAAAGAAGATAAAATTACACAATTTATCTTTAAGAGTGCATAAGTCTAGATTTTTACCGCTCATTCTTAATTAATACGCTTTTTCTAATACAATTATTTAACTAAAAATATTATTAATCAAGAATAAAGACTACAAATCCGACACATGCGTTTTTAAGTGGTATTTGGCCTCTTTAGAATGAAATGTTGGAGCCATGAATGTTTGCAGCTTTTATATATTGTAAAAAATATCTGTGTATAAACATCAAAGTTATCACACCACGATCTATGTTGTCTTATCAAAAAGATGAATTTAAACAGTGTTAAATTTAACCGATGGTTTAAAAATATTCCACACTAATTTTTCTTTTTTTAAAAGAAAGCACCATTCTATGAAAGAATTTATGTCATATATATAATCTAACAAACCATAATTAAGTTATATCGTTTTCCGGCCGCTTAATATATATAGTTACTCTTGATCCTTGTCAGGGGTCATGTATTTTTCTTCTCCTGTTTCAATTTTTCTTCCGATAATTATTTTGGATAAAGGTTTCAATAGCCCCCTCTCATCCTTTTTTTCTTCTTTCGGCGGATCTTATAAGGCTGTTTAGCTCTTACATCTTTCTGTTTCTTCTTCTTCTTTTATTTAATTTTGTTATTCCCTTTCCCTGGTTTTTATTTTTGAAGTCGATCATCTATTTTTTTTCACGAGTACCATGCATTTTTTTTCTTTGCTTAGCCTAATTTCTAGTGGGGACTAACTTAGCAAAGGAACTCAGGAATATATATATATATATATAACACTCAAGAAATGCTAGTTAGCCATAATGTTAGTTAATTACTCTCTTTGGTTTTTTTTTTCCCCCAGGTTTTCCTCCCTAAAGATGGATTCATATAACACCAAACAGCAAGGCCAACAGGGGGCACCAAAAGAAAACAATTAGACTAAAGCTTCCCACATATGTGTATATACAGTATATACACATATATATTTATATGAATATCCAATAATGCTCAAAGCCGATATTTTAGATTCATTTTAGACTATATTGATAATACGTACCAATGAAAAAGTACGTATTCATATTTACCTGCACCACCATGAGCGGATATGAGGAAAGGCCACCGGAATAGTCAACTGCAGGAACAAGCTTCTTGAGATCCGGCGAGGGAGCGAAATCTCCAAAGTCGTCAATGGTGGATCCGCTCTCGGCCTCGACGAAGAGGACACCCTCTTCATTGCAGTTAATCTCAATTCGGCCGTCGTCACCCACCCCGTACCGACCCGCCACCGGATAAAATGGGACGAGAACTTTGCTTAGGGTTTTCTTCAGCATGTCGGCATCGAAAAAGTCGGGGGCTCCGGCAATGATTGACCTGTAGAACTGTACGACCGAGTTGTGCACTGGGTGGTTGTTTATCCAGTCCAACACCGACAGCCGCAGCGACCGCCGAGGCGTCTTCTCCGCCGGTTTCACCATTGTCTTCTTCCTTATGTTAAGATTGATCATCTTTGATAGTACCTAAAACTACATCCACATAACAAGCATGTTTTAATGATATATATATATGGAACTTACCCTAGAGAGCCGAGACAAATAATATATAGGGTTATTGTGGACTTTAAGGTTTTCTCCGGAAGTAATTTGAAAGCTCTTACTTTGCTCTTTCAATTTTACTACAATCTTATTTAGCCTTATATATTTTGTTCCATTTAAAAAAAACAAACAAACAAACAAACCGAGAAAAAAGAATAAATATGGTTATGCATGATCTTTTCCTGCTTGTTTTAATTACATAAATTCATATTAAGCTATTCTTTTTTCCATGTACTGGCAATAAAAATAAAAATTTAATAAAAATAAAAATTCTAATAGAGTGGATAAAATGTGATTAATTTAAAATTTAACAAAAAAAATTGGGAATAACAGTAAAATTCAAAAGGAACAAATAGAGAATAACCTAATAAATATGGGGCAAATAATTTTCTACAGGAAAGCGTGCACAGAGATTTGTGGTGAGCGATATATATATATATATATATATATATATATATATATGCGGTAAGGCTTGGAAGTCGGATACTGTGTGAGACATTATTATATTTCATTATAAGAGTATGACATCGCCCAACAACCAAAACCTTGTTAGCTGGTTTTCTTTAATGAAGACATGAACAAGACCTACGAATAGTACCCAGCACGAACTCTGGCTTGTCGACCACTTTCGGTGTTTTTATCAATCAATACAAATATCTTTGCAGCAAAATAATAATAATAATAATAATAATGATAATAATAATAATAATAATAATCATCATAATAATAATAATAATCATAATAATCATAATAATCATAATAATAATAATAATAGTAATAATAATAATAATAATGATGATAATAATAATAATAATAATAATAATAATGATGATGATAATAATCATAATAATAATAATGATGATGATGATGATGATGATAGTAATAATAATATCAATATCAATATCAGTGTACCCTTGTTATTGTCTCCAAGTAATTAATAATAATCATAATAATAATAATAATAATGATGATGATGATGATGATAGTAATAATAATATCAATATCAGTGTACCCTTGTTATTGTCTCCAAGTAATTGTAGACACCTGATGATAATTTTTACACATTGAATTTATCCATTAGCTTTGATAAAGTAAAACTATTAGGATTCAAATTCAGAAGTGTGCACAACCCAATTCTCCTCCCCGGCCGGCATATTCAATACCCGGATCCCACCTGAGGTAGAGTGAGACAAAAAATTTATAGAGACAGAGAAGAGAAGGAATTGAGGGAAGAAATAGAGACAAAAAATTTGTTTTGTAGAGTGAGAAAAGAGAATAGGAGAAGAAAGTATTTGTAGCTAATCAAGTTTGAATTAAAAAATACAAATACCATCTCTGTCAGAATTTATAGTGACTCACCTCAGGTGAGGCTATATTCTCTGGAAAATCCTCAAAATAGGATGATTTCACTATCACTTTGAGAGAATGCATTATGCATGAGAACTTTTTTGCCAATGATTAGACTTAAGATTTCCACGCGGGTCAACTCACCTTTTATACAAGTTTAGATCGGTTAATACCAACACATCTAAGTTTGAATTCATTTCCTAGTGTAATTATCTCTACTTATAACAATTCTTATCTTATGACGGATCTTGTGCCTTCTTATCTCGAATTTATCAGGTAGATTAACTTAAATTTTGGGTCGCTATTCTTATCCTTATTTGTATCCTTATTATACGAAGATCAAGAGTAGCCATTTCCCAAACTCAGTTACTTTTCAACAATTTTTATCATGGGAAATAGTAGAAAATATGCTAATATGAAAAGCTTAAGAAAGTATATAGGAAAATCTTTAGTTATAGAAATTAATAGGCCATAACTTTTTAAGTTATGGTTCATAACTAGATAAGTTATGGACAAACTTATCAAGTTATGGTTCATAGCCAGACAAGTTATGGACAAAAATCTTGAATTATGGACAATAACTTGTCAAGTTATGGTTCATAACCAGACAAGTTATGGACGAAAACAATTATTTAGCCTATTTATTAACTTATGTAAACTATTGGCCTATTAATTTTAATTCATCTCAAGTCTTGACCTATTTTCCTTTTTCTCCCTTTTATTATTTATAAGATTGGGCTGCCCTACTTGTAAGCAGCAGTGGGCCCTTGTGGGCCCATTAGGATTTTTAAAATCTAGTTTTTAGGCAAAAAATTTCCATAAATGTTTTGGACCTTGGAGATGATATCGGACCGAAAGATGAACGAAGCCGAAGAACAAAGAATTCAAGACGAAGACCCGTTGATGTAACAGATGAAATAGTTATTGTAATTATTTTATATTTTCATTTTGGTTGTAATAATTATTTGTTCGATATGGTTGTAATTTATTTTTTTCCATGGAACCCGGTCAATATCGTCTCAATAGCCGATTGCGTATTTTATATTTTTATGATAATGATTACATATTATACGTCTATGCATATAACATGCCATATAGATTTAGTGTGCATACTCATAGGTTTAATTATATGTCATGCATACATGCGCATATTATTTATTTATTTTATTTGTTAAAAGAATTTTAGAAAATAACATAAAGATTATGCGTTACATTGATTTTAGTTGCAATTTTGATTTTCAAAATAATGTAATTATGTGAAATTGAATATAAGAGTAAATTTTAGAATTTCACATATCTAATAAAACAAATTATTTATTTTATTGAAGTTTGAAAACCATGAGATGTTTTTCAACGAAAATACATATTTTTTTTTGTTTTTCTTTTATTTTTGTCTTTTTAAATTTATTTTTCGGGAGACTTAGCATATAGAACTTGAAAAAAATGACTGACTTAAACTTAATGTGATAGGAATTAAAAATATCCTTCGTCAATTTGAGATTTTGGATGGTTTATAACTGATATGTAAACTGATTGTAATGACCAACACGTCAAAGATAGAGTTGACCATGGGAGTCATAGTATTATGACTCATAGTGTTATTTGTCCGGTCATAATACTATGACCAATCAGTCATAACAGTATGAGTCATTGTCTATGAGTCAAATTATAACAATATGAATCAAAATGGCCGGTCATAGTGTTATGACCAGTCATAAGAGAGTCATAGTGATATGACCGTCCGATCATAATATTATGACTGAAATGAACCATAGTGTTATGGCTGGCACACTATGACTTCCTTACGACCGGCCATTACACGGTTATGACTTGTCATTTCTAATGACTCGATGATGACTAGGAGTAATTGAATGTTGATTAACAGTTATTATTTTTGAAATTATTTAGGAATGACTGTTGGATTGAACATCTTCAACAAGTACAATGGATATTGAGACCGTGCTTCGAGATACATCGGTTATGAAATGAAGGGATATTGGTCCCCACCAACACAGCTTATATTGGTCTTATGATTTGGTGAGAAATCTGCTTAGGATTCGGCCACAAGGAAAAAGATTATCCTTAAGATATGTTATTGAAGACGGGGAAGCTCATGTGAAGATATCGTCTGACTATGATGTCACATTTTATCAACGACATCTCTTCCTCCAAAGCCTTTCTTTTCTTCTAAGATGACAAAAAATGGTAAAAAACAATAAATACAAAAAAAAAAAGCAATCAAAGTTGTTAACCAAAGTACTATGACTGGCATACTAAGAGTCTGACCATAGAGCGGTCATAGTACTATGACCGACGGTCATAATTCTATGACCGCCCATCATGCAGGCTCGCTCATAGTGTTATGAATGATGGCTAGTCATAAGGCAGTCACATAATGCGGTCACAGTACTATGACCGACGGTTATAATGCTATGACCGCGGGCTCATCAGTCAGGCAATCACACTATGAGCATGCTTGCCTATTGGCCGGTCATAGAATTATGACCAATGGTCATAGGATTATGACCGCACACTGTACCTGTCTTATGACCAGTCATAATACAACTACTGACCGGTCATAATGATATGACCGGCCATCACGCAAAGACACAAACCAAATAAGGACCACAATAATAATAAAAAATTTTAAATAACTGACCTTATATGCTTTCATCTCCTCCTTCAAAGTCTTTCTTTTCATCAAAGATGAGAAAAAATGGTAAAAGAAAAAAAACAAATAAACAAGAAAAGCCAACAAAGTTTTCACCTTTGTCTTGCAATCCGCCATTAACCTCGTCTGTTTCGTGGTTGATTTCTCCAGCAAAGAATGTTAGGAGGGTGAGGTTTCCTCAGTTCGTGCTTCTGGGTTAGGCGTTGATTTTTCCGGCGAAGGTTCGTAGGTTCTCGTTACGTGATTCTGGATTCGTGAACAGTGAACAAAAAAAAAAGCAACAAAAACTCCATCATTTTATTTTTAATATTTGTTCGATCATTGGAAAATATACCAAGAAGTTTTTAATATTTTTTTTTCCAAATTTTGTAGGACCATTATGCCTAAGAAGGGTCCCAGGAAAAGTTTCAATCTCATGGGAAACTCAAAATATTTTGGCCGTGTTCGTGGGCAATACCAATTTATCAAATAATCAACTTATTTTCAATCCACCGGCAGATCAAGAAGGGATGAGGAGTTGACAATGCTGTGTAAAAGACAATGGAGGCCAAATGGGAAGCAATTCAATCATCCCAAGGCCATACCCCAGCACCTATAGGAGAAGGAATGGAATCTCCTATGGTGGATCAATGGCTTAGTGTTAAGAAGAGTTATATTGTCCATAATGCTACGCCACTGGTAAAGCCCCCCTATTCAGGCCTTGGTGATGGTAGTAAGTGCATTCTTCTGGCTCCAACAAAGGGGAAGAATAATTTCATCGTTGTTGCGATAGGGATAGCTTGGTTGTATAGTCGCTCTACTGATGTTGTCTATGGTGTTGCACTTGGGGAGGAAAATGTATACGTCTCTATTCAATCAACTTATGTGAGAGATACATCTCTGCCTATCCCTATATTTTGATAGCACGACTATGGCTGGCGCTTTCGGAGGATTTGTTGCTTGCCCAAGAATTTGGTTGAACTAAGGTCATTAAGTAAAGTTAGCAAGTAACTATCCTTATTACTTTTTCACAATAAATTATTATTTATTATTAAATTTATAATTAACTGCTTCATTTTTCAAGTAGTCACTTGTGGCATGTGTGTAATTTGGAGAATGTCCTATGTCGTTTAGGTTTCATGTCCCCGATACTCAAGTCCTACGTTCCAAGCCAAGTGGAGCTGGATATAGAGCGGCGAGCAAATGCCATCTGTACATTTTTGTTACAATCGGATGCCCATGGCACTTTTTTCATGCCATACATTGGAGGAGGACATTGGATGTTGGTCGGTCGTTTCATTGGATCCCCTCGTGGTGAAAGTACGCGTAGACTTCAGAAGAATAATTGCCACTTAAGTTTAGCATTCTTTATAACTTTTGAACTACTAATTTATATTATTTCATTTACTAATTAATTGAT